CCCCAAAACCCCAAAACCCCAAAACCCCAAAACCCCAAAACCCCAAAACCCCAAATAAGGTTTCTGCTGTTGAAATTACATAAATTAGCGCATTGTTGATCTCATTGGAGTAAATGATCTCCTGTTAGGGGTACCTGTGTAGAAAGAGCTCTGGTACCTGGTGGAGTTGCTAGCAGCTGGAGTCCTATATCCATCGTGATTCGATCTTCCCATTACGGGTGTTGTTGATCTCTTGTTGCGCTTATAATGATCTTCACACGCATCACAATAATCTGGGGCAGAGTACTGAGATTTTGAGAGGATTTTATTTCTGCAACCTCTTCAATCAAACACATATCCATCTTTTTCATTAACAAACACTTCAAGGACAACTTGTTCAAGTCTCTGGTATCTACTTCTCTTATCAGAAGTCTTAAGAGCATGTTCAAAGGAGTACTGTGAATCTATTGACATTTTATCTCCTTGTTCATCCTCATATTGTATAACAGGGAATCTAAACCTGTATCTTTCAATTATATGGTCTTCAAATTCTTCGAAGTATACTTTAGAGGACATTTCGAACTCGAATGTCTCATCTGAGTATAGATTATAAACCTTTACATAAATTTCATCCCTATCGAACTTATGGTCTTCGTTGATTGGGGCTACCTTGAAGATCATATTCTCCAAGTTTTCCAAGTAATCTTGGAGTAAACCCTACATGTTATAAAGCTGGCTTACTTTCAGCTCTCGGTAGCCGTTGCTGAACCCAAACTGGCCGATCGAAGTGCTTGGGAGTTTGTCTGAGATATTCTTGAGGACTTGGAGTAAAATTTTTGCTCATTCTATGATTAGAGATTCCTACCTACCTTCAATAATAGCGTCGGTTTCGAGGTCATTATGATTTTTGCTATTGTTCCATAAGGAGTAACAGCTATCGAAGACATCAATTACTGGGTTGAGCTTGGATATCTTCTCAACACTGAGCTTGGACAATAAGGTCTCTTGACTGCAATCTGAAATCATGGTAGTAAGAAGCTTCAGACAGTTCAGAAAGTATACAATATCTATGGTAGTCACATCTTGGTGATAAAATTTATTTGATCACTGGATCATTCATTACTTTGAAGTTCTCCAAAGCCTCAAATGTAAATTTTATGAAGTCCTTGTTGTGAGAGAATAATATCTTGGACCCAGAGTTTTTAATCAAATTTCATAAGATAGTTATCACCTGCTTTGAGCTCCTAGCTTGAGATTGATGGACATATCATAGAGAGTTTAACAAATTGTTGTCTAAAGTAACTACACTATCATTCGCGAGAACATCAAGATAATTTAGAATATATTGAACTTGCCTCTCGTTATCAGGAGTAAGCAGTGAATTTTGAATTATTTTTGTGACTCTGCTATCATTGAAGAACTTAAGCATTCCAGGCTCTGAGTCTATTGCTCTTGTTATACTAATAATTCAGCAATTGATGAGGAAGACATCCTCTTCCTTCATCAGCTCAATGATCCTTTCACATAAATCCTTTGTTTCTTTATGGTATTGCATAATATGTCTGAATAGATAACCGCAAATAAGTATCATATATCAATAAGAAGACCTTTGCTCTAGATCTAGTTCATAAAGAAGGTTTCCTATTCTGTATGCCATCTGGAAGAGGAAATTTTCTTCTTTGTCAACTGTAATTAACTCCGCATTTGGTAAATATTTTCTACAGATGTTGAACAAGCACCAGAGTGCTCTCTCTGTGACAGAAGGAATCTGAGAATTTTCTAGTAATCTTATTAAAGTGCTGAATATATCATATTCGTAGAGAAGAGAACCGAGTTCCAGGTTATTCTTTACTAAGAAGCCGAGTGTAATGCATGCTTGTTCTGTGACTTCAACACATTCAGAGAATATTCAGTCTCTAATTTTGATTAAAAGCTCTGCGTTTGATAAATTCTGACATAAAATATTGTAAAATCCCTCATCTTTGAGTAGGGAATATGACCCTTCTTCAGGGTTGAAGAATTCAACCCCTTTGGAGAGATATCAGAGGATTCTCAAGGTGCTAACTTTGGCAAGAGATTCCTCTTTGCCTTCTCCCAAGTTGTATATTTTTATAAACTTTTCTAGCAAATTTGTGTTTATTATGCACCCAAAAATACCATGGATATGGGGATTAACCATTGTTAATTCATAATCAATCACAATGTTGTCAAGAACTTCAAACATACTTAAGATGTGGTCCAGAGCAGCTTGGATCTTATCCAAAGTTGTGTACTCAGAGGAAATTTCACTAAAAGCCTCACTAAATGAGAGATATAACTCCTTGCTTTCCTCAAGTGAATCACTCTTTTGGCTCATGTTTGCTTGTTCAAACTCACCTTTTGTGTTCATGTCAAGGATGGAGTCTTCAATGTTGTGGTAATTCTCTCTTCCTTTTTCTATCAGTGTCAAAGAATGCTGGAAATTATTATCATAGAAGAAAGCTTTAATGATTTCATGGAAGCCTAATCATTGCTCTTCAGTAAACCAAGTTTCATCAGTCTCTGCATTTTTCTGAAGTAAATTATTTTAGACCTTACTTGATTCCGGGTGTCTGAGAATTTGACTGCTCCAGTCACAATAAACCATTTCTCGAATGCTGACACAAAAGTGTCAAAGTCTGTGTAGTCTCCAGTATCTGCGCTACGCATTTACTAGATGGGCTTACCTATGAACATCATTGAATTTGGCATGGACCTGGGAAATATCATCAGCAGAGTAAGTGAAGTTATCTTTCGTGTACATCTCCTCAATAAAGATAGCAATTTCTTTGTAACTTATAACACCATCATTGGTGTCATCAATTGTTTTAAAAAGTTTGTAAAGTTCAGCCATTTCACATGGTGTGAAGATCTCAGAGGTCTTAAATCAAAACGAAGGGAGCGACTCCATTCTTTAAATTATTTTTATTATTCTTCAAGGCATTTATAGTCCTCTGGGGTTTTGGGGTTTTGGGGTTTTGGGGTTTTGGGGTTTTGGGGTTTTGGGGTTTTGGGG